ACTTACCACTTAGAGATGTCATACTTGCTTCTTTATTATGCTAAACCGGGGCGACAGTGGCTCAGTTGGCAGAGCAATGGCCTTTGAGCCTGAAGGTTGTGGGTTCAAGCCCACCACAAGACTTTCTCCACCGACTCCCACTGATGTCTGCTGTTGTTGTGTCCTTGGGCAAGACACTTCACTAGAATGAGTCTGGTGTGTGTGTGAATGGTTGGAGGGGCGGATGGCACAGACTGGTTGCCTCGCATCTGTCAGTGTGCCCCAGGGCAGCTGTGGCTACAGTAGCAGTTTATCATCGCCGTGTATGGAGTGAATAAATAATGACATGTGAAGCCTCTTTGAGTGTCCAAATAAAATGTATGTTTTTTTTTTTTTTTTTTTTTGAAAGCTTGAGACATACTTGCTTATTTATTATGCTAAAGTTATAGATTTAATACTTTATCTTATTTCATCTTGTGCTGTGTGCTTCTCATTCCTACTTTTCTGTAACTATCGATGCAACACTGAAATTTCAACCGCTATGGGACGAATTCAAGAATGGTTGGTGGTAGTCAGAGGGCTCAGTGGCACAGACTGGTTGCCTTGCTTCTGTCAATGTGCCCCTAGGCAGGGATGGATGAAAATGTAGTTATTAGTGTATATTTAATATTTTAAACACGCCGGCATCAAACGTACAAACTCCTCTTCCTCATCTGTTTTTGGGTCACCCTTTCCATGCATAATACAAACCTCCTGTTTTACTGCCACTGTTTCCCAGACCATACAATACCTACAACTGCGTACGTCGGCTCTAGAATATACAGGACTATTCTTTATTTTGATAAAGTCCGAGATTTTGTTCTTAATTCTCGCTTCTTATTATAGATCATATAGTGCTTCCTTATTGTGCTAAAGCTAGAGATTTTAATTCATGTTTTTGCACGGCTCTTCACAATAGAAGTAGACCACCCCATTGATTTGAATGCAACCTCAAAACGTTCTACCGGTCAGTATTTCTACCTTCAACAGGAACATCCAGTTTAGGACAAATAAGTAGCTAGCTTAGCGGTTACCTCAGATTCCCCGATTAGCCCAGTCAATACTTATTCTCCAATTATGACCTGCGTGCTATACATGATCCCTTATGTATTTTATTTAGTAGAGTTTAGTATATAAGAAAGGATCTCTCCATCTTAATACCTGAGACATATCACAGACAAAAGCAGGAGGCCACTAATCCTTGCTTTAATAACCGTCTGCGTACACTTCTCCTAATTAAAAGTTAACTACACGATTTCCTCTTTGTGTTTGAGCAGCGACCGCGGGATCCCAAAATGAATTCCTTTGCTTGTGCTAACTTCCTGAGTGCTCGGTGGTCAGGTGCTGTTTACGCCCCTGGCTTTCTGAGCACGAGATCTCTGCAGAGATTATTGGAAGAGCCCAAATCTGCCGAGAGAGACAGCATCCAGCGAGATTCTACCCACCGCTGAGACAAGTTGCGTTCCCACATCCTGCTCCTGTGTGCCTCTGGACCTCTCCACAATAACACAAGTATTCTCCTTTTTGGATAGCGTTCAATATCTATAGGGCCAAGCGGAAAAAAATAAAAACACATCTGAAAGAAACTCGCTGTTTACAGTTGACAGGGGTTTAAGTCCGACAAGCTTGGCAGATATTTTGGACTCTCTTGCCTTGCTGCGAGCAAAGAAAGCCCTGCGATTATGAATGAATGATATATTTTGACTTCTTGCGGGTTCGGTGGAGTGGGGTTGGATGAGCTAACGCAGACCGCCGGTTGTCATTGGAGCGCCATGGTTCCCTCCGGTGTGCGGTATGAATAGGCAAGAACATGTTCCAGAACTGAAGAGGCTCGGACTGACACACAAGCCCCTCTTTTGAGTCATGTGAACGGGACAGGGGGATTTCTGATTGCCCCCGTCCCGCCAGACAAAGGCGCGCAGTGTGCCTGGGTGCATGGCGGGGACGTTACCTCCGGGCGCTGCCAAAAATACGAACACAAAGAGAAGAAGAAAGCAGTAGTGACCTCCTGGATTTTTTTCTAGGGGGAGACCTGTGGCTTCTACTGTATTGTTCGGCCCTGGGATGAAAGTCCCTGTTGGGTCCACGAGGCCTGCTAGCTAACCTGTTCTGGAGCAGCTGCTAGCCACCTGTGGAGCAAATCAAATTAGTCGAGGGGCTCCTACTGCTTCTGTTTATTGCGGGAGATTGAGAAGTTAGCATCGGCGCGGGTTAGCTGGAGGACATTCCGTGGGTCACACCTGGAATCGTTCATGTTTAAGACTCAAACTCCCATGATTACTTCCGACTCTGACGTCTTACTCTTTTTTGTTGTTGTCATGGAATGTACATATAGAATACACATACAGTACATTAAAAATACACATACAGTACATTTAAAATACACATACAGTACATTTAAAATACACATACAGTACATTTAAAATACACATACAGTACATATACAGTACATATACAATACAGATACAGTCCATATACAATATTTATACAATACACACACACAGTACATACAGTATACTATGCACATATCGTACATATGAGTTTTCCAATGCATACATTTTGTCGTTGGCTTTAGCCGGGAACAGCTCAACAAAACACGTCCTATTCTCCCCGAACACAACAGACCCTTTCGTTTCTATCTTTAAATCTTAACAAAGAAAAAAGAGAAGATATGACCTCTGTCCATTTTCCCTCAAATTATCCAATTTGGCCTTTACGAGCTCCCGGAGCCTGCGAGGCTAGAATTCTTGTTTCATGTGAACAAGAGACGCTCTTGTTTGCCACTGCGGACATTTAGCACGGAGATAGAAAGCAGATATTAATCATCATTTAGACACACTGAAACCGAAAAAAAAGACAGAAAAGAAATATCATGTATGGGTCACAGCCAAATGAGTCAGAAACACAGAAGTCCTCTACACCGTGTGTCTTTGTCCCGACATCCTGTTCCCAGGAATGTGGCTGGTCCCATGACTGAGGTGGGCTCAGGGTGAGGGAGGGGTGAGGGAGGGGGGGGAGGGGGGGAGGGAGGTGAATGACACAGTGGCACCTTGTTTTCCCGTGAAGCCTCTGTCCTCGGCGCCTCTCTGAAGCCGCCTTTCTTTGGCCTCAGAGAATCCGTGGTTCTCAGGCAGCGGCTGTGGCTGAAGTGTAGAAATGACACTCAGCTCATGATGGATGGTGCTTGACCCTGGATCCAGCTCCGGCACATTTCCATAAGTCCAGGATCTCGCACCCGTCTCAAACCAAGCTGCTGCGAACGAATATCAATGCTATGGAACAAAGTATTGATTCAGTAGGGACTTTTGTTTTTGACTATCGCTGCGCAAAGTGATGAAAGTTTCTTGTGTCTTTTTTAAACCAGATCATTTTGCTTTGTCCTGTTGGAGAATCTTGTTTTAAGGCGTTCAAAATGTGCTTAAATTAAGATAAAATTATTACCTATTTTTGTTGTGTAGGGACTTGTTATCGACTGAACACTTATTTTCTGTTTTGCCCCACCATATATTAACAATAACGACTGTACTGAAAAAAAAAATAAGTCAATAAGTCAAAAATTGCTATAATGTTGAGAAAAAAAATATCTAAATTTGAGCACATTCTGACTGAGCCTTAAAACAAGATTCGCCAACGTGACAAAGCAAATTGAGGGTGTTTTAAAAAGATACGAGAAATTGCTCGAATTTGTAAAAAAATGATCTACATTTGAGCGCATTTTGACTCAAATGTAGGTATTTATCATCTAGATTTTAGCAGTTTTTCATCTCTTTTTGCAGTGTAGGGACTGTTGTAGGACTACTCTGCAAAAAGCACATTCTGACTGATCCTTAAAACCCGATTTACCAACGGGTCAAAGAAAATGACGTTGCTTTAAAAAGATACGGTGTTTAATTTTATAGTTTTAATCTCTCCTCAGTCCGAAGTTCTACGATCGGCCTTCAGAGAGGAACCGGACGACCTTTTTTTGACGTGGGCTTGTCTCTCTCTGCGTTTTTGGGCACATCCACATCCACAGAGCTCCTTTTGTTACATGATTCATTACCGAGAGCAACAGTAACGGCAGGATTAACAATTAGCTCGACCTGTCAAACAGTCAGTCTAAGATGGCAGGCTAATTGAGCGGCTGGTTGGCCATTGTGTGCGCGTAGAAGGCCAGGGAAGTGGGATGCTCGGAGAGGCTTTCATCTCTGAAGAACTAATGCGCTGCAGAAAAAGGCCCTCTCTCTATCAGTCTGAGGCGGATAATGTGTCATGAATATTCATATAACGTCTGTACGCAGCCAACTTTGGAAAGTTACCTTCATGGTGCATGTACAGCCCGCTCACCGCTGAAAAGAAGCGAGATACGGAGAGAGACGAGGAGGACTTAACAAGGACTTACTCTCAACTCTTTGTGGCTTCAGTCGCATTTGTGTCGGATATTTTAGCTTCTGGTGTTTTACCCGAAATACACACCCGGTTCTGCGGCATTACGATGTGCTTTACCTTCAACAATGACCGAGATAATTGGGAAAGAAATTATATTTAGTCAGCGACCAATTCTGCAAGTCCTTCCACTTAAAAAGAAGAGAGGGCAGTGTCGTCGTATCTATACCTCAAATATGAAGAGAATGTTTTGGAACAGAAAGAAGTTGCATCCAAATAAGACCCTCCTCACTATGAAGGTGGATCCAGGGGCCTCAGTCCTGGGTCTACAGCCTCAGTCCTGGGTCTACAGCCTTTGTCCAGGGTCTACAGCCTCAGTCCCGAAGCTACAGTCTTAGACCTGGAACTACCGCCCCGGTCCTGGATCTACAGCCTCAGTTCTGGATCCACAGCCTCAGTCCTGGATCTACAGCCTCAGTCCTGGATCTACAGCCTCAGTCTATCCATGGGAGTGGATCCCTCTCTCAATGTGGGCCTCTATGAGTCTTAAAAAAAGTTGAGAATGTGAGAAGAGTGTGAGTGGAACCTGAAGGCCACACAGCACAATCTTCCGAGCCATGGGAAGAAGGCCTCGGGAGCAGCTGCAGCGCCAGGCCCCGGCTCATGAAAGCGCCTGCCTGAGGGGGAGGCAGCCACTTGATCATGAAGAAAGTCAATTGTTCACGCACTCAAAGACGAAAAGCCCAGGAGGAGCTGCACCATGGTGTGTGGGACATATCACAATATTTGACAGACATTATGAACAAAAAAAAACTCCCATTTTTTTTTTTTTTTTTTTAAAGACGTTTTGTTTTTGCACGCACCAGCGACCTGTCATGGCCGTCAAGCCTCCCGCACCGGCCCCTTGTCATTGTTCCGGGCCCGAAAGTTCAAAGAGGTTTTCTTTTTCTTCTGGGGGCTGCTCAGTGTGCGGCGACACCATGTAATGAAATTAGCGATTGTTGCTAAACAGGTTTCAATCAAAGAGCGTGAGCCAAGAGCCCGTGGTCGGCGTTCATGAATCACCTCTTTCACAGGCTGTGTCCGAACGCTGGGACTTTGTGACCGTCAGCCAGGTGGCCCCACAGAGAGGGAACCTGGCCAAGAAGCTCCGTCCACAGCACAAAAGCCTGCTCAGAGCCCAAAACAAACAAGCACTGTATACAACCAGCTATGGCTCTGTCCAATCACCACCAGGCACAACCGTCTTGAAAGGAGAGTTACATTACAAAAAGTTACTAACCGTAACCCACATGGTCCGGAGGTAAGACTGAGGCCTGTCTTTGAATTGTCCAAATCTGATATAAATATAGATAGATAGCTAGGTAGATAGATAGATACTGTAGATAGATAGTTAGATAGATGGATAGATGGATACAGTAGATAGATGGATGGATGGATAGATAGATACAATAGATGGATGGATGGATGTTTGGATGGATGGATGAATAGATAGATCAGCAACAGTATGATGACGGATTAGCGCCCTTTATTGATGACAGATTAGGGCCCTTTACTGATGACGGATTAGGGCCCTTTAATGATGACAGATTAGGGCCCTTGAATGATGACAGATTAGGACCCTTGAATCATGACAGAATAGGGCCCTTTAATGATGACAGATTAGGGCCCTTTACAGATGACAGATTAGAGACCTTTAATGCTGACAGATTGGGGCCCTTTAATGATGACAGATTAGCACCCTTTAATGATGACAGATTAGGGCCCTTTAATGATGACGGATTAGCTCCCTTTAATGATGACATATTGGATGGATGGATGGATAGATTAGGGCCCTTTAATTATGACAGATTAGGGCCCTTTACTGATTACAGATCAGGGCCATTTAATGATGACAGATTAGGGCCCTTTAATGATGACAGATTAGAGCCCTTTAATGATGACGGATTAGGGCCCTTTAATGATGATGGATTAGCGCCCTTTAATGATGACAGATTAGGGCCCTTTAATGATGACAGATTAGGGCCCTTTAATGATTACAGATTAGGGCCCGTTAAAGATGACAGATGAGGGCCCTTTAATGATGACAGATTAGGGCCCTTTACTGATGACAGATTAGGGCCCTTGAATCATGACAGATTAGGGCCCTTTACTGATGACAGATTAGGGCCCTTTAATGATGACAGATTAGAGCCCTTTAATGATGACAGATTAGAGCCCTTTAATTATGACAGATTAGGGCCCTTTAATGATGACAGATTCGGGCCCTTGAATCATGACAGAATTGGGCCTTTGAATCATGACAGAATAGGGCCCTTTAATGATGACAGATTATGGCCCATTCATGATGACAGATTAGGGCCCTTTAATGATGTCAGATTAGGGCCCTTTAATGATGACAGATTAGGGCCCTTGAATCATGACAGAATAGTGCCCTTTGATGATGACAGATAAGGGCCCTTTAATGATTGACAGATTAGGGCCCTTTAATGATGACAGATTCGGGCTCTTTAACGATGACTGATTAGGGCCCTTTAATGATGACAGATTAGGGCCCTTGAATGATGACTTGACATGGAAATCTTACATATTGCCGCTTTAATGTTAATGTTTCTATCTTGTTTTGTTCAGCACTTTGAGTCGCCTTGTGTATAAATTGTGATATACAAATAAACTTTCACTGTGGCTCCACTTGATCATAAATCAGTTTTTTAAATGGTTTTTGTGGTCGGGACCGTCGGAGTTTTGAATATTACGTAGAGATGTCTTTCTTATGCCTTATTTCTGATATTTTACTGTGGGGAAATTCCAGTGTTGCAGGGCACAAACAGGACCTTAAGAGCACAGAGAAGAAGATAAGTATCTGTTAACACTAGAAAATTCATGGAGGTGCCA